TATCCCCTGTGTGCCTTGTCGACTCAGTTGTATGCTATACGAAGTTCTTACGTAAACGCTGAGAAGCAATCTTTGTTGCAGCATACAAATAATTTTTTGTTTCCGCCACAAATGTGACAATGATTTCTAGATTTTTCCTGATCAAATTTCAATTGTATATTTTTGAAATGATTCCAGCATATCTGAAAATAATAAATAAATAAAAATAACATTGCAGTACCTATATTAATTTGCATATAATCAACAAAAAAAGAATTTAAGCTCTTCTAGATTTTTTATTAATTTAGGCTTTAACACTTTGACTGCCTTATGTACTCAATTGGATATATACAGGATGTTCGCTCTTAGAACATATATAAATGGAAGGGAAATGAGGAATCAAAAAGTCCGAAGAAAGTGAGAAAGGAAATCATATACGTCATATACTTCTCTCTTGCTCTCCCTCTTGCAAGTACTTTTTCGAAAGTGCGCATGCGCGTCGTTTGGCGGGTTTGGTCGCGCGCATGCGTAATTAACTCACAAAGAGAGAGCAAGAAAGAGAGAGGTATATCGGATAAGGTACTATATTATGTGGGAATACGCATCCCACATAATATAGTACCCTAATATCGGACGTGGACCTCTCTGTTCATCTTATGGCAATTCCTCTTCTATTTATTATATGATTTGTATATTCTAAGCATAGTGATTCTAAAAGGTCCATCTACAATAAGGTCCGTTCTACAATACGTCGTATGTCGGGTCGTAAGCCGTAAGTCGTAAGAATTGACCAATCACAGTTGAGTATAAGAAAAATATTCGATTACGATTGGTCAATTCTTAGTATGATATGAGTAGTGACTAACGGTTTATTGTAGAAAGCCCCTGATTGTTTAATTTTTTACGGCTTACGATTTACTACTCTCATTGTACCTTAAGTGGATGGACCTTAAGGGACTTTCTACAATAAGCCGTTAATCACTACTCATATCATACTGACTAAGAATTGACCAATCGTAGTCGAATATTTTTCTTACATTCAACTGTGATTGGTCAATTCTTACGATTTACGGCTTACGAACTGACATACGACGTAT